ATCTATCTCTATCTTTCTACTTCTCTTCACTCTCTCTCTACTACTCTTCTTCTATCTACCTGTCTCTCTACTTCTCATCTCTTCGCTCTCTGTCTCGCTCTATATCTCTTCCGATATCTCGTATCACTCGCCAAAGAGTTATCTCGCCTCCTGGTGATCGAGTCGCATTCCTAAAACGATAAAGATCGTCGCAACGGCCGATGACCGTACGACGATTATAGAGTGGTATTCTCCTAAAAGCTACCAAAATTGAACAAGTCGTAGACTGCAATTCTAAACCGTGTCTGATCCTAGTCGTAGTCCAGGTTTCCCGGAAACCGACGAAACTACTAAACCGTACTCAATTCTTGAGCCGCTGTTACGTATGACTTGCTGCGAGTCGCTGTAACCTTTCTGTGTCATTCCAAATCGGTTGCCCACGTAAACCAAGTGAGTCGCAAGACCTTGCTAACCATACGAACCGAGTACCCAGTCGCGATCAGATTCGTTGTCGAAGAATCGGTGGGAAGCGAGGAGCTCGCTAGGCGAGGCTACACGAGACAGGTTCCATAGCGGACCTTAGGGTGTCCGCGTAGTTCTGGTGTTAAACGAAACGCGGTGTGTGTCCCCGTGCATCTCCACACGACAGCCGTAGACCGGGAGGATGGCGATTCGTCGGCGGGAAGCGAGTTCAGCGCGTCTGGTTCGACCGGTGGGTCCGGAAGCTCCGGCGAATCGAACGGTTGGACCAGCTCCAAGAAGCTGAAGCGACGACGAGGAGGGTCCTGTAGACAGGAGACGAGCGCCGCAGTGTCTCGATCCCGTGCTCGTGACCGACGCGATCCTCCTCTGGTCGGGAAATCGGCGCCGCCCAGTTTCAGGAGGCGAGGCGCCAGCGGCGCGTGTTCCGGCGCCGGCGGCGGCGGCGGCGGTCAGTCGAGCAGCTCAGCCACGTCCGCCGGGAACGCCGGTGTCAAGCGGACCGTCGCCAACGGGCTGAAGCTGGCCCAGACGCAGGCGATCGCCGTCGCCGGCTTGCTAGCCGACGTCGACTCGCGGCATTGCCGCGACTGCTCCTCCTGCCTGCCGCATCGGGCCTCGTACCACGGCAGAGGTGACTAACACCAACCCCCGACCACACCGCTTATGCTCCGCTCCGTTTTCACCAGACTCGGTGAAATCCTGTCGCAACCGTCACTGAATCTTTACGCACGTTAGCTCCTTTCTTTGGTGAAGTCGATCATTCCTTTTGACTTGCAAAATCCTTAAAGGCATTGCGCATACGGTTATTACTAGACTATGAATCTTTCTGCAAATTCGAAATTACAAGAATAGAATTAATATGAACGGTTTTCCATGTAATGATATAAACTACGGTGCGACAGCGTCGATCCACAGTCCACTTCCCAAACGTTGCGTCGATCAGTGTCGGAGGAACTCCTTGTTCTCGTCTCGAGCGGAATCACAGCGCAGCATGCCGTTCCCCCGACTTCCGGTCGATCGACGAGCAGCTGTTCCCCGACGCGACGCGACGTCCGTTTCTTCCGTTGATCTGACACTCACGGTTTCGTTTCTTTTTCCGCACGCACACTTGCACGCGATACCGCACGATCAACAACGCACTAATGCACTAACGCGCACGCGAGATGCTTTTATTTTTTGCTGCACGAACGAACGAACGCACGCACGCACACCACGCGCAACGACGACGGCGACGACGCACGCACACACTCACTCACGCACGCAAGATACGAAGAGAGACCCGGACGGGGTGAAGCGTGCGTACCGCATGACGACGCTCTCGCTAGAAGCATGCGTTCTGCCAGGCGGCTCGCTTAACACTGTTTGACCTGGCTTTCAACGACGGCTAACCGCACGCTCGGAACGCTCGGTGTGTACACGAGACCGAATCGTCTCCGTGACGAGACGTGACGTAGAGGCAGAGCGTAGCGCGACGAGCTCGATCATCCCTTCACGGCTCTCCTCGTTCGTCAGTTTCCTGGCCCGGAGAGAGTAACGGAAGCATCGGCGCAGAGCGCCTCTCCCATAGCCTGCCTGGCAGCCCCGCGGACCGGAAGCCGAACTTCGAGGTGATCGGAAGCGCGGAGAGTCTCGTCGGTCGGGTAAGTTGCGATGTGGACAACGATGGGCGGTTTTGGATCGTGTTGGGTTGTTGAATAAACTCCGTGAACTCTTTATCGGCGAATATTCATGAGAATTTCTTGGTGACATGAAGAATAATAGAATGTCTAACTTACGACTAGCTCGAACATCGAGGATAGAATTAATGAACGTAGATTCTGTGTTAAAAATTTGTACAATTTAGTCAACCACCTAACAAACCTAGAAGACCGACAAAGCAAAGATTCTATAGATTCCAAATATTCGGTCGTGCGATCAGTAATTTCGTTTCAAAAGTGGCATTGGGAAATTAATCGAAGTATAGGAAAAGGTACAATAACAGTGAATACATCGACAATTAAAAGACATCCAAATATGAATTGTTTACACTAGATGTTAAGATGAAGACATTGCTTAGGGACTGGTGTAATACTTAGTAAATCACGAGCGATCGATCATTGTCTTCCCGTCAACTTGGGTTCACGATCTAAATCTGTCTGACACACGATAGTGGCGCAAACAGGAACTGATCCTCTTCCCGTTCCAGGTTCTCGTGGAGCAAGGGCTGGGCAAGTATTGCGACCCGGACTTCGTTCGGTACACGTCGAGGGAAATGCAGGAGGCGTTGGACATGACGCCGGAGGAGATGGACCGTGCGGCGCATCAGCTGTTGCTGCAGGAGCGACGCGGACAGCCGCTCACGTATCAGCTGCAGCAGGAGCCTCAATGGGCGCCGCCGGGTTATCAGCCGGGTCCACAGCCGACAGGTATCGCGTACCAGCCGCTGCAGGAGCAGCAACCGACTGGGCCGCGGCAGTATCAGTACTATCGTGGTCAACCGTCCGTGGCGCAGCCACCGCCGCCGCAGCAGCAGCAGCAGCAGCAGCAGCAGCAACAACCGCCGCCCTCTTAGCGACACGACGATCACCCTCCTGTCGATTCTTTTTCTAGCTCCGACGTGTAGCCGTTCGATCGCCGTTTCGTGAAGAGGAACGACGCGACGCGACGGTAAAACGCACGGTCGACGCCGAACGCCTCTGATCGAAGGTCATCGACACGTTCAACGTCCGTCTCCGCTGGCATCCTTCGCGTCCACGGGAAAATCGTAGCGAAGAGGATGCAACACCGACACCGTCGGGAAGAGAACGGGTTGACGCAAGCAATAAAGCAACGAGAGCAACGACCGACCGAACGCGTCCGCAAATTCGTCTTTCGTTGGCCGGGGAAGGGTCGTTTTTTTTTGTATTCCGTGCCAGCCGAACCAGCGCGTACACCAGCGAGCTAGGGGACCAAGCTTCGAAGAAGTTCTCTCTCAGGACGAAACCGAATACCTTGAGAACGGTTCCCAAGCTCTAAATCGGGTACACGCGGGGGGCGTTCCGCAAGTTCCACGTTATCGCATCGGTCTCATCCGAAACGACCGCGTTCCCGCGATCGAGCTGAGACGGACTCGAAACGACGAACAAAGAAACAAACCGCCCGGGAAACGGGTCGGACCGCCGCGAGTCCCTCCTGCGTTCTCGGTTCTTTATCGTAAACGACAAAAGCAGAGAAACAAAAGGGGACGGAAACCCGATCGAGGCAGAATAAATGGAAAGAAAAATACTTATTCCTCTCCGAGATTACCGTTATTAGGGTGTAAGTCGGGAAACTCGTTAATCGCTCTTCGTACGATGGATTCTAGATGAGATAACAAGTGCCTAAGTATCTGTAACTTTTTTCGGACCAGAGAAGAGACTTTTATCAACTTAGAACCGAAGTACCGTTTACCGCGAATTACAAAGCAAAAAAAAGTTGCGTGTTGAGTGTGTACGCTACCGATACTTGTAAACGATATTATAGATTATTATTATTATTCGTATTGTAAAGATTGGTACCGCATAAGCCGCGCGAGGATGAACGGCCGATAAAAGAACGGACGCATACGCCGCGAGAAATTCTCGTTTTGTATAGCCTAGGTTTTGTGTATGTCCGCGCGCGATCCGCCGGAGGCTGAACGACGCGTCTTCCGGCTGCCAGAGAACCGGGCCCGAACGAATCAACCTCGACATTCATCCTTTCATCGTTTCCGCTTCGAATCGATCAAACCGAAACCGTCTGAACCGATTTTGATGGGCCCGGGAATCGCGTGAATCGCGATCCATATGATTCATATGATCGCTGGAGAACGATCCAACGCGACTATCGAACGATACAGATGCGAGCATATATAAATGAGACGTTCACAGGCCAAAGCAGTTAACTATTCCACGAATATTTTCGAATGTCACCGCTGAAGCACTTGGTCCTGCATATAATATCAGCTCATAATTTCGAATCAATTTAATTAAATATCAAGCTCTCCCGTTTTTCATTTTCACTGGAGTTAATCGCTTTGGCAAATGAACGTCTCAAATATACATACTCCGAGTTGCTCATGAGAAGAGCCCTGCAAGGAATCCGGGTCTAATTGATCGGCTTTCATCTTTTCTCATCTTATTTTCAAACAGAACTATAATTGAGCTCTTCCCCTAAGCAACGCGGGATACTTATAGTATGTATGTATTATATACACGGATATTCCTGCGGTACCACCGAATTCGGGATCGATCGGGGACACTCGTTCGCGTCCCGACCCTTCGTCATCGCCAGATTTCACGGACAACCGGACGACGACGCGGACAACACCTTGAACACACACCCCGTAAACGTCTACCGCTCGCTCGCGCGATATCGAAACGTTCACCGACTCTCCGATGAGCTTTTCTACCGAACGCTCTGACGACGACGATTTTACTCTCACATCCCCGAGACACGTCCCGGAGATCCCACTTTTAGACCCGATTTTTACAAATTGCGCCCACCCCATCCCCTAACGAAATTTCGACTCGTATATATATATATACGTATTCTTGTAGGCTGCAAGAGACCGCGCACGAGTATGAGAGCGGGAGAGAAAGAGGGTTGGAGCGTGTGTTTTTGGAGGATCGTTTTGAATGGAACGTTTTGGATGGGAATGCAAGAGAGTACACTACCAGTCACCCGAAGCTTTTCCTAATGTGTTACTTGAGACCAAGAGTCTAGTTGATCAGGAGTGACAGTGAAGCACGGAGTTGCGGTAATACTTGATTAGAGCAGTGATGAGAGTGAAGCGTATATGTACATGCTTTTGTTTTGTAATGGAAGTGTTTGAGGCGACGCGTAGAGCCACGTTTGGTAGTTTAATTTGAACATTTATTATGATTATAAAATAAGGTTTAGAAGAAATACGTAAATGAGCTGGATTTTATTTGTGTGGATTTTCTTTTGTTTCCGGATTTCTTTCTAAAGATTCGGTTTTAGAGGGATTATCTAATTTTCAAGTTTTATACGTTTTTATCGGAAATCATTGAACCTAGTAATTATCACAGTTATTTTAAGAAACTATTTTCCAATTCTTGAATATGTTGATATTGTTCTTCAAAATGATTTTATCACTGCTCTGGTCGACGTTCTCTCAGCTTCTGTTGCCGCTTCGCTATAGCCGGATATAATTGGTACGGTAAAATACAAATTCGCGAGTAGATCGCGGATGTTCGTCCAGAATTTTCGTGGGATGTTTGATGGAAAGCAGAATAAAGGAAAAATTTATGTTGCGTGTTAAATGAAACCTTATGAGTTGATCATTTTGTATCTTACGAGTTTCGTATTTATATTATTAATAAGATTTGTATTTTATCGTGTTCAATTGAGTCACATGCGTTTCCGCAACGGTTACGAAGACGTCGGATCAAATCGGAGAACGAATCGCGAACGAAACGAAACGAAACTCGAAGCCATCCGACGCGCGTGGTTCTGCTGATGCTCCACCGACAATGATTGGCAGAGTAGTTACTTTGATTCTTGAAATGCCGAGAACTCGTAGAGTTTCAAAATACCGTTACCACTATATATTACTCGATTTTTCTGCTTGCAAAAGTCCTCGAGCAAAACGAACCTCGCCATCAGGGGTTGAATTGTTTCCGAAAATAACTGTTGCAAATTGTTACACATCGGTTCTAACTGAAATAATCATTAGAATCGAAAAATAACGCGTATCTGTTACAGATATTTTATGAGTTCTGTCATAACTAATTTAGAAACCGAAACCGATATAACTGTTTTCAATTCCTGCGAGTCGTTCGATTCCTGTTCTCTTGGAAAACGTTGTCGGCAATAACTCTTATCGATGACATTTTCAGAACCACGTGCCCTAGAGCTCCGCTCGTCGCGTTTTTTTATCGCCGAACACATACCGCTTTCGACTCGTCGCAGACGCGTCAGTCATTTCCAGCGCGTCGCCGTGTTTCGCTGGTTTTTCTTTTCCTTAGCCTCTTGTCGAATCTGATACTGATTTCGGCTCGATATGATACCGATTTTGATACCGATTTACCAAGTTCAATTCGAACAAAGCTAAGTTCGATGAGACCTTTTCGAATTCCGGGTCGCTTGATTTCCGCGCGCAAAGTCGCTTTAACCTCTTTGTGTACGCCGCCGCTTGAACATGGTTCCGATTTTACAAATTTCGCAGGGAAAGGTAGAAAGATCTAAGAAATTAAATTTAATTGAAATTCAAATAAAAATTCAATTCGAAGCACGTCTATTTTTAACTCATTTTGAAAAAGAGTGGTTTTACTGATACTCAGCAGTATCATTATTTTGAACTATACTCGAAGAGGAAGAAAAAAGTATTCGTATAACATCGTTTATTGTTCCCACTTGACGATGAAATGTTCCTTTTATTTCTTATCACATAGTACTTATCACATAGTACTTATACATAGTAATTGGACATAATCTTACAAGCTGCAATTTATCTTACACACGCAAATCTTACAAATAATTTATATAAATAGTTCATATAATATGACGTCGCGTATGGATGTAGTCAAAAGCTGTTCCGAAGTACAATCAAACACCCTTTGAAAACATAATCAACGTTACACTCGGAACGTATCAGAAGCTTTACGAACACAAAACCATTAACGACGTTCGAATACTTTGTTCCTCTCGTCGTACCGGACGTTGTACCAGAATCTTCGAGCGGTGGTGTAACTTCCCTGTAAGGTATATAAACAATAAGCTCGGGCAGCTGTAGCTGCGCAAACCCTTCGTCAACAACGGAACCAAAGAAACAACCGACAATTATTCGAAAACGAGCCGAAGCGAACAAAATTTGAACGTTCTTTTAGGTGATACGATAAAATGATAGAAAGCCGTATGCGTATGAGGAGCCGACACGATCGAACCGAGTATCGTCGCGCGCGACTCGGTTAAATTCGATGGACGAAACGAAAAGGAAAGGTAGGAGCCCAAAATGACATTCAAAGAGAAAGAGAGAGAGAGAGAGAGAGAGAAAGAGAGAACGCCTGTCTGTATGTATGTATGCGCATAAGTACTGCCAGGTTATCACTTGATGACTAAGCTGAAGATGGCGGGGCTGATTGACCGGTTTTCATCCTTTCTCACTCGATTTTCTGTTAGCTTTACATTCAAATTCCTGATATTTCCGATCATTAATTTGCTATTAATCAATACGGTTACACGTAACCAATCGAAACTATGACACAATAAACTAAAAAGACACCTTTTGCCCCATACCGTTCTGCTAGACGTCAAGTCATCTCCCAACTGTACCTGCGTAAGAGACGAAGATAGAATGATCTTCACGCTTCAGGACGAGTCGCGGTCAGATACCTTGAAATAATCGTCCTGGGAATAATGCTACTTGTATACATTGTACTCGACACCTTTCGTATTCCGTTTTTATTCCAGCGTCTTTCTAACGGTCACGTGCGTTTGTCTATAGCGGTCTTTTTATACTGTTGTAAAGTGGCGTTTACACCGAAACTGTAGGATTATTATGCGTAGATGAGAACTTCTATATACCTTTAAATCGTAAATTAAACGTCGAACTGTAGAACGATGACAGTCGTCGTCGTCGCCGTCGTCGTCGTCGTCATCGTCGTCGTCATCATCGTTGTCGTCGTCGTCGTCCTCGTCGCGTTATTAGCGTTTCGAAAGAAAGAGAGAGAGAGAGAGAGGGAGAGAAAGAATGGAGTGAAAGAGGGAGCGAAAGTGAGAGACCAAAATTTTCTATGCTATTTGAGACTGACGAAATGCGCTTGACTAAGAACCAACCGACTCGGACAGTGCTAGAGGACTCATGAGGACGAAAACGATCGTTCCGGTGCATTAAATGGTTAGAAGGATTCGAATGTATGCAAGGGTTGTGTCCATTTAAGAATATAATTATCGTAAGTCGCTGTCAGTAAAATCTCTCGCAAATGAATACTGTTTTGGAAGTGACTGTCAGTCACTTTCACTACCAATGTCACATATTTGTAACGGTCACTATCCTATAGATACTGTCATTTAAAGTTATAATGCACGGCATTATAATTTAGGAGCTCAATGACTCTTCCTAGGTTTCATTTTTCAATATTTTATTTAGTATATTTGTTGATTGTAATAGAGTATTGCAACTCTGTAATATTCTGCAGAATAACTTGCGATAGCTTCACTCTCAAATGGACACCTAGTTTAAGCAAAGAAACATGAGAAATGGCAATTGAATTAAATCGCGTTCGAGAATCGCATATTCGAGCGTTTGCGAATTCACCGCTTTCGCAGATCTGCCCGGTAACCCTTGCGACCTCTTGAAACAGCCTAGGGTCACACACATGCTACTCTTTTATTTTCGTTAAGTCGTGTTCCCCGTGTTAGGACAATGTTAACACGACCGACATTTTTCTCTCTTTCTTTTTTCTTCGAGGAAACGCGAGAACGTTCCGCGGACCAGCTTTTTCTCTCTTCATGTTCGTTTCGATGGCAACACACGATCGAAACCTAAACCACTATCAGCTAGAACCGATGCGTCCATAACAACTATGGATATTCTCTCGATTTACATGAGTGTTTCAGTCAGAACCGATACATAATACTTAGAAACGGCTACTTTCGGAGCCGATTCATTCCCTGAACCGTCAATGGCTGTGCGGATAACACGGTGAACACACGTTTGACGAATAAATGCAACTTCGATCGAACACTTCGTCATTCGACTTCAACGCTAAGTTTACGGAACGCGCCAGTTGGACGCACATTGGATTCCACAAACATTGTTTATGGTAAACGTTTATGTCGATTTTGATCGACGCAATTACACGAATATGTATCCCAGCTATCTATTCTTAAACCTCTAACGTTCAAGATCTAACTGAACAAACGGTACAATGAATCTCCGTAAACCTAGTGTTAATCCCACGCTTATATCTTCGACAATTCGAATGATCATTTTCGGTATTCTCTTTCTTTCGACTCGCGCGACCGCGTTATCCGTGACATCTTCGGTTGACGATACGCTTTTGTCCGGTGGTTCGTCAAAGGAACGTCGCTTATTCGTCAGACGGACGTAACGAAACCAAAGTCTTTCGGTGACTCGCCCTCGAGAAACGTTTGTAGAGATGTTTGGAACATTGAGTTCAAACGAGAACGCTTTCGTTCGATCGAGGCCAGGACGGTGCGCGCGTGTCCCGACGGAAAAGAGGGAACGAGTGAAACCGTATCGCGCGATCGCGACTCTCGTCAGACTGTCAGGAATTGTACAGAGGTAAGGTGATATCCCGATGCACAAAACCAACAGACACGCACACGACATATATACTGCCGGTTTTCTGTTCGATTATATCCCACTTTCCCGTTGCTTCTCGCGCCCGAGTCGCGGACACTCCTCGTTCAACGTTTCGCGGCCCATTTTCCTCTTTCTGTGTACGTAACAGTTTCTACGACCTTCCTGTCATATAAACAAGGTAGACCGACGTGAATCGGATCACAGGTTAAATCGAATCGAAATAAGAATCCACATTGTCATATTAAAAACTATGTTTCTCATCTTTCGTTCCCTATTTGTTAAAGAAAGATTGAAAAATTCTTTCCAATTTTTTTACTGTTAATCTTTCGATATCCGCCTTTCTTTACTGTCAAGCGGAAGACGATCCGATTTATCTCGGTCTACCTTATCGATACAATATAAGATCAAATATGATAACGTAACGACGAAATTGTCGACGGACCGTGAAACGTTGACTCGTTCCACGACGATACGCGGCGAAAGGGATTTTTAAGAAAACGAGAAACAAAAGCGAAACTCCGCTGGCGTCCGATATGCGCGACAACATGGATCTTCGAATCCGAACTGGTACGATTTGAAAGAACGTTGCGCCGGAGTGATTGTACAAGAATCTGGGAGCGTGACTCGAATTGTTTCTTTCTTTTTCTTTCGCGCGCTGCTTGTTCGACGATAAAATTGTTCGAATGGGTGCAACCGAACGATCGCGGGACACAGACCGATCCTGTGCCCGTGTTTCTTTCAACGGAATTGAGGAACAAAGACAACCGCGCGAGTCTTGATTCCGAGATTGACTCGCGGTCGATAGGCTTTAAGCTTGTATAAGATCGTTATATATTTTAGCCGTATCATTTCTTTTTCATCTCTCGTGATTTCGAGGGTCGATCTCGATCGACGGACTCCCGCGCCGAGTATCCACGTAATATTCGCTTCGTTTGATCGACACCGCTTCTGTCTTTTCTTTCTTTTCTCTCTCTTCGCGCGACAAACTCTCCGTTTCCGAGAGTGCCGAGAATTGACGCGAGCCACGCGACGCTTCGGCGAAGCCAGAAGATCGTTTATACAGCGCGGGGAAAGGAGCGTTCGAAACGTTTCGCGCGACATGCACGGTGCATGCGGTTCCGGGACAGCGGGAACGACGAATGGAACTGCATGGACACGGTATTTCGCTGAAATAGTATGAAAGAAGAAAAAATGAAAAAAAAAGAAACAAGGGAAAAAACTAACAGAAAAAATTGTTGTTGTTAATGTTGTCAGAAAATGTGTCAAATTAAAATATAAGGATTTCAAACATCTGACACCTAGTGACCCTGGCGTTTTACTCTGCCGCGGTCTGGCCTGCTGCGTGTTGCGAGAGAGTGTGCATGTGGGGATCGAGTAACCGCTCGTCGCCCTCTTCGAAACATCACTCGTCTTTATTTTACACAGTAATATTCATGCGCGCGCTATGTCCGCGTCTGCGTTTGCTCCGGTACCGTTATTTTACATTACTTACATGA